CGAAATAGAGCTCCATCCAATGACAGTTAAGTAAAGATATCACAAAACATAAAGATGTATTATATTTTATGAACCTTTTTACTTTATGTAAAAAGTTAAATTTAATATTACACAAATCACATTAACCCATTTTTTATTATGTTGGTCCATCTTTTATCTTCATTCAATTTATAGTATATATTATTAAAATTATTGTATAAAATTTTTCCTTAGGTTCAATTATTCTCTTCATATTAATTTTAGTGGTGATCAAATATTAAAAATCATTAAAAATAATAATATATACTCATAATAAAATAACAATTTCAAAAATATAAAAATTACAAAAACTAATGTTCAATTGATTAAATTATCCCATATCCCTAATTTGGTTAAATCAGTTTATAATAAAAATAATAAAACTTAAAATTATAATTATAAATGTAAGAATATTAAATAATAAATAAAAATAAAATTTAACTTGAAATTCTGCTATTATTAATTAATCTTCTATCTTAATATCTAAAAATACCTAAAAAAGTGCTATCACTAGTCTCTAAAGCTCCTTTTAACTCTGAACTTAAATTAATATTTGTAGGATGTTGGACGATCTAATTAGAATTAGAATAGACACGAAACACCAAAATAATGAGTACAGTTACGGATTTACTTAAATCGCACGAGGGTCGATACCCTCAACAAGCTGCCGACACCTTCACTGCATCCACAAATAACAGTCCGTGCCGAGATTTTGACCTTCTAAGAAATTTTAGTTGATGACAAAATAGTAATCTTGGTCCTTAACTTCTGAATTCCGTCAAAGTTAATTCTTATGTTTTTGATCTCTATAATTTGCTTTTAAAAATAATAATTTTTTTTAATTAAGTCTTTTCTTACATAAAAAATAAAAATTATGTAAAATTTTATAAAATTTATCTAAATATCAATAATATTAAAGTAAAAATTTCACATTAATATATATAAATTCAACTCATTAAATCCTTATCCAAGTAATTAATCGTGAAATACTGATCCCATGGTAGATTCCTCCTTTGGTTCATTCTATTTAGCAATTGACTACAGCCTTTTCCTTCTATAGTTTTGTTTATGTATCAAGGGAGGTTAATTTAGTAGTAGATTGGGTGGCAAAACGAGTGTTAAGGGGATTATGTCCTGATTGGGCTGTATGACCTCTTGTTGATCTTTGTAACTTGTTATGTATGTAGAGATGTAAATACTTAATTAATATAATAAAGTTTTCTGGTTTGTTCCAAAAAAAAGGATTGCTGGAATATTCAAGAAGTAG